ATGATTCCGAAATAATGTGATATAAATGGTGTCTGTCTTCGTTATATTTTGTGCAATAAAAGAGAAAATGAACTTCATCTTCAATATTTCCAGAGTTACACCGATGACATAGTCTTAGGTGTGGAGGCCGGGAGTACCCTGGTATCGTCCTATTTCAATCTGCAAATGATGAGATGACACCCTAAATTTTGTTAATGATCTCCTAAGCTCAAAATTGTTCATGATATTTAGATACTTTTCGAAACAATAATTATTCTTAAATTTTACATAAGTGCGGAGCTTCCCTTCTGAATTCTTGGTCAGTTGATCCAATTTTTTATACACGACTCTTTCAATATTTTCCGGATGGTATTTTTTGAAATATTTTTCCCATCAATTACTTGCGTATTTGACTTATGATTACAAATGTATATCTTAAAAATTATAATAGAAAGATAGAAACTTTAGTAAGCAAAAATGACCAGCAACACAAGATCTACAATTAACACAATATTGAGGAAATTGTCCGACGTCTCCTTGGAATTATTGCCCTTTAATGACGATTTTTATCATGTTTTGCTTTACATGATAAAAATTAAAATAGATAAATAGAAACTTTAAATCACAAAAATGACTGATAAGGCAATATCTACTTACAAGTCACTTGCATACCATCTTTTGTGTTTTGAGCAAAAACTAGAGAAGATAGAGAGAAACTATGCAGACCAAATGATCAGCAATACAAGATCAACAAAACAGAGATGTTTGTCATGCATTCTATTCTCGTCTTCTATGTATGTCCTTTGTTGAATATGCACATAGACCAAGGTGAGCGACACCGACTCTTTAGAACCTTTATTTAAAAGTATACCAATCTTTAACTAAATTCTAAATTTTGTACACGTATCGTAACCCAATGTATGTCCTCTAAGGTTGTAACAGTTTAATGGGTAATTTTGAAACAGATTACAAAACTATAAATACTTAAAGAGTCTGCAGATAGTCCAAACCGGAAAATTTTGGAAAGATTTTGTCAACGTTTAAGTATTTATCGAATAAACAAAATTATAATATTTAACCAAACCACAACTCTATAAAATAGATATAAACATAGGGAAGCTATTATATGGATTGTCTTTCGGATACAAATTATATCATTTTGGTTAGCGTCGCCTGCCGATGTGAAAGTCAAAAACATTTAAAAAGGGTAGAGCCGATTACCCTTTGATTTATTTCAAACCAGGGCCATTTACAAAAAGTCTTTCAATCTTATAGTTTACTTAGGGTTTTACAATAATTGTATTATTATTATGATCGCTAAATGTTAAACGTACCACCAACTTATAAACGCCTAAAGCAAATTTTTGCTTTTTAGTATTTATTCCTAAAACGAATAAGAATGTAATCATTAACCAAAACAAAAATTGTGTTAGAAGTAATAAAATTGAGAATGTAAATGGGGAATGTGTCAAAGAGACAACAACAAAGCTATTTATTGTCTTTCGGACATTAATTCAGTTTGCCTTTCAATGGCCTTCGATGCAAAATTTTACAAAAACATGTAAAAGCAAATATGTATCTTCAACAGCATGCATGCAACATGTAACGCTGAGTAGCATTTTGAGTTTATGGAAATTAATGTGTAAAATTGTAAAAAAAAAATGAGAATTGAAATTGGGAATGTGTCAAAGAGACAAAAATCCGACCAATGAGTCAAAAACAGACCATGGCCACCATTTGGTTTTCAACACAGCGAGAAAATCCCGCACCCGGAGGCGGGCTTCAGCTTGCACATAAACAAAAAATGTGTACTAGTTCAGTGAAAATGGGCGTCACACTAACTAGTACTGCGAAACATATAAATGAACTAAAATTCAAAAAAGATATTTTAAAATATATAATTTAAACTTTTTAATATTACATTTCAAGTATGATAAATGTATGAAAAACACATGTTGGGCCCTGTGACTGAAAAAAAAAGATATTGAGAACTAGGCTCCAACCCTTGGCAATTTTGTATTACAATGCCTTCAACAGAAACATATAGCACTTAGTATAGTATTTTGATTTCAGGGGAACATGTAAAACATTGTTACAATATATAACGTAATCTTCAATTTTCAATGTGCAGACCAATTTTAGATTTTGACCCTATGAGTGAAATTTATAAGTCCAGTGAAAATTGGCCTCGTCGCTTTCAAAGACCCCCCTTTTTTCCCTAAAAATTGGAGAAAAGCCAAATGTTTATCAAGTGCCTGTGCTTTTGGCTATTTCTTTGATTGACCTTTCCTGCTGCCAACAATAAGGTTTCGATGCTTTACTGCTAGAAAAAAAGTGGTTGAACAAGTTCACGGTTATGAATGATTATCAAAATATCTTTATTGCAATCAAAGTCGAAACCAACAAAATAAACCACCAATTACTGAGGCAAAAAAATAAGAAATTGATAAAACTCAATAAGTCTCACAACCTTATGTTTTGTGATTTACGAAGTCGTAGCAATTTTATCACATATTTTATATTTTGATATAAATCAAGTAAGGCGAGAAGTACAATAATGTGCCGAGCATCGTGATAGACATCATTTTTTGGACTGCTTCCTAGTGACTCATAAGATGGCCTACTAAACGACGACTTGGAGTGGGACCTTTTTTTAAAATAATCTAAATAACGTATACATATTACCGTCTTGAATGTTCGTTTAATATGTCTAATATTGGCTGATTGGCCTCAGTCATCATGCAATTCTAATAATCTTACATAATCAACCTTTCAAACTTAAAAGTAAAGATCATGCATCCTTGTTGTTCAGATTGATAATATCTTTCCCATTCGTCGACATTGTCTCCGAATTAAAAAATACTATTGGTCCGGGTACACAATATAGTCCCTAGTGTGGACAGTGTGTTACTTGTCGATTTTTTTTATACCCCTTCCAAATTTATTTCTCCATGTTTTATGACTCAAATAGTAAGTAGGGGGGTGAAATGACACTGTAAAAAAATTTGGGTCATGAATTTTAAAGTAAAGTAGTGATTTGGTCCAGCTGAAAAATGTTAAAAATTAGCACTTCGGAAGCTGTCAAAAGATTTGAAGACCCCCTTAACATGAAATTGTCCATATTTTGAGTTAGAGCCGATGAAGTTTTCTATAATTTTGATATAATTTGTCCCAAAAGTAGTACAACATACTGTAAAAATATTATTGAGAAAGCGCAGGTGGGATTTTTTTAATTTTCATTTATTGTCTAAAAGAAATGCACTACGAAATAACTGTGTACTCGGACCTATTGATCTGGATAACCGCTGTGCACACTTTAATGACAGGGCTAGTTTTCCTATTAGATAAGTAGTAACCTCCCTTGTTAATGGGATGTTGTAATCAATCGTTTAATTTTCACCATCTATATAATATTTCATTGTATTATTTACATTTGTGATTCATTTTATATTAATATAATAATTTTATATTTTTTCTATAGATAAAAACAAGGAAATTTGAAAGTCTTTGATTCATTAATCACCTTTCAAATCATAAGTCAGGCGGTCTATTCTGTCTACATTAAGTAGTAAATACACCGGGGTATGAATGGCTATGAAAAAGGAAAGGAAAACATTGTATAACGTAAAACGAGAATTAAATAGAGCAAAATGAAGAAATCGAATGCAAATGTTGATTCTTTTCTTGTTTATAGAAATCAAAAACGAAGAACCAAAACACTTATGATATTCATTTTGGTTTTTGAAAAATCAAAAACGAAAAATGAAAAGACTTCCGTTTTCCGTTTTGGTTTTCAAAAAATCAAAAATGAAAAACAAAAACACTTTTGTTTTTCATTTTGGTTTTTACGAAATCAAAAACGAAAAATGAAAACACTTTCGTTTTTTGTTTTTTGTTTTTGATATTTCAAAACGAAAAACGAATGGACGCAAATATACACGGACCCAAAAGAGATGATTTCAGCTTTCTATGTAGCGCCTGCATATGGAATATATATCTCCCAGTTGATATGTTATTCTAGATTTTGTATTTCCTTAGAGAATTGCTGCTCACAGAGACGCTACTAATCTAAGAGTTCCAAGTGGTTTATTTGAAATCATCCCTTCATAAATTTTACAGACACCATTAGGAGTTGGTTGATCGTTGTGAAATATTTGTTGCACAGATGACGACGGATACGTTCCAATTATAATAACTACAATCCCGTCCTCTTTTTCCCGAATGTGACCTACTGAACTAAACTTACCACTGGGTTTGTACTTACATGAGCAACACGAAGGGTACCACATGTAGAGCAGGATCTGCTTACCATTCCGGAGCACCTTAGATCACCCACGGTTTTTTTGTGGTGTTCGTGTTGCTCGGTCTTTAGTTTTTTCTGTTGTGTTTTGTATACTGTTGTTTGTCGTTTGGATTTTTCTTTTTTGCCATGGCGTTGTCAGTTTATTTTTGACTAATGAGTTTGAATGTATCTTTTGTATCTTTCGCCCATCTCTTTTTCTCATGTTTTGTCATCCCTTTTTTTACATACATTTGTTCAAAACAATTTCTACTAAAACAAAAAGACGGCCAATCATAGCGTAATTTTCAATGAAAAATGTGTTGTAAAAATAAATTTCTTCAATCAATTCCAATCTTTACTTTATAACGTTTAAAAATGTGAAAGAAAATACAGAAAGAACGTTAGTGATAATTAAGAAAAATGGAAGTCAAAACCAATCAAATATTTAGATAAAATCTCACTTCTAAATATAACTTTGTATAGAATGAATAATGTAGGCCCTAGAAAAAAAAATATCGATCTCCAAGGTAAATTAAAAAGGTTGAATTCCATAAAACTGACAAAATCAAACGTGAAACATTATCTACCAACAGAACGAATGAAAAAAAAAACAGCGAATAGAACCTTGTGATTTTTTATGTTTTTTTTTTTTCGATATTTCATAAACTGCATGATTTTGGAAGAGAGTGATGCATAATATTGGAAATTTCACTTGAATAATTTATTAGATTTTACTCACCGAATCCAACTGACTGTACATACAAGCAACATAAGAAATAAAACGAGCAATACAGGAACAATAATTGCAACATATTTTTTTCGGTCTGGGCCATGTGATGGATCTACAATACAGATAATAAGGAATATGTATTTTTATAGCACACAAAATCTCTACTCCATCATGATAAAACTCAAAGCAAAGAAACAGCACTTGTATTACTGATATCCATCTCAAAGTCACAGTAAGGCTTTCAACACGGAGCGAGTTTTCACACCTCGCTGTAAGTTAAAGAATGAGTCTGGGTTATCTCGGACTAATAGAGTAATTGAAGCATATACATGTGTGCTAGGCAAGAAAAACTCCATTAAACTGCTTACAGCAAGAACTATTTTTTTTATCAGTATATAACGTACTACCAACTTCTTTTCACATATCGTGCATCAGACCTATGACCCACTGACAATGGCTTTATGTATTCCACTATTTCAATACAATTTACTAAATCGGTTCTTCATTTCAGTGCTAGAAAAGTGAAAGAGACCCAGGACATACATCCACATGCAGATGTACATGCACATCTATGCTCAGGTTTTTTTTTCTGTCTCGCATTACGACATAGTTTTCATAATTCTACAGCAAGAGAAAAAAGCCGTGAAGCATAAAATGATAAATCTGTTGTCCTATTGAATGGTACTTCAGTGAGATACTATCCTGCCTTTACGAACACATTCAGAGGTTTATTATTTGTCCAGATATTTTTTTTCCACTTATCACAATTCAATGCGCTTTTTATGTGTGGAGTTTAGTTTGAACTTGTCAGTGTCAGGGACTAATAATATAATAGGGAACATACTTTTTCCCATTTTTTATAACTTAAGTATATGTCTGATTCTTTGACGTTAATCCGTCTACTTATCTTGAAAAGTGACTTTTATTATTTATTTATGCAGTTAAATTAAGTGATTACATAATATTCATGCAATTTAGTTTGGAATTTTTAGTGTTATGGCAGTAACTAAAGGAGATCTGAATGGAGTAATGAATATACTTTTGCATTGTTTTGCATAGAAATAAAACAATATATTAACGCACTCACAAATTTAATAGAAATAAAGAACTTATTGTATTTAGTGGATGTTCGGAGAGCAAATAACCCCGAAAAGAAAAGATATACATGAAGAGGCCATGAACATAAAGAAAGTCGACAAGATCATTTTCTGATATCAAATAACTTTGGATCTTAAATAGATATAAGCTTTTGTTGTAACCATTCTCCTGGTTTTCTATTTCAAAATTGTATACCCAGTCTGTGTATATCAGACATTATCAACCAATGTATTTTTCAGGGACAGATCATGGGGAAGGAACATAATTATCTGTAGAACCGATATATTTTTGGAGTTATTAAAATACAATTTGCAACGATGAACATGAAAAGTGTTCCTCATCTATAGCAAACTGAATAAAACATTTGCTTAAACATTTAGAAATATAATTAGAAAACACTCATTTGGAATTAATTAAAGGTAGTTACGTAGAATAATTTACAAGACTCATTTTTGACTTGATACAAACACTGAAGAAGAAAATATACCAGGACTTTTACTGCTTTTAGATGTTTAAAAAAGCATTCAATGATCCTTATAACAATTAAAGATAATGAGCATAATTTTTTAGGCTCAAATCTGGATCAAATTTTTATGTATCAATATTCAAAGTTGTATTATTAATAATTGGTCTTTTCTCCAGTTTCTTAAACATGAAAAGAGGTGTCCATTAAGGTGATCCTTTACCCCCTTACCTTTACACACTGGCTTAAGAATTATGATGCAGCAATCAATGGAAATAAGCACAGATGTTAATAGTATCAAGAAAGGCTAATCTTGATGCTTTGCTAAATTTTTAAGCAGATGCCTCAACATTAACTAAAGTTGATGATTATAATTCGTTATTAAAGTCCCATTATATTTTTTTTAAAACATCTCCTAGTGTTCTGGTCTACAAGCAAACTTGGGCTTTGCTCATTGTTGAAGGTCGTACGGTGACCTAAAGTTGTTAATTATTCCTGTGTCATTTGGTCTCTTGTGGAGAGTTGTCTCATTGGCATTCATACAACATCTTCTTATTTATATATTTGTAAAAACAAAGGCCATATTGATTCGTTCAAAAGTCCATTCAAGGTCAAGTTACAGTAAATCGCGGGCCTTGTCACAGATATTTGTCAATTTTTTCATTCAGCTGTGATATGTTAAACATGAATTGACCATCGAAAACAATAATGTAATTATCTCTTTTATTACTATTTTTTACTAAAATATTACTGGGTGAATTCTTTCAAAAAAGATGGAACAATATCTAAAAGCATATAGAATTGGCGGAAAGCGTTCTTTGATATATCTTATAATTATAAAATCTCTAAATCCATTGCATTTGAATTATATATTACATTTGCCTGCTTCATATCCTTCTTTGTTACATTCGACATAACCACTTTCACACTTACAAGTTCCATCTACGGGGTCGCAACTGAAGTACAAAAACATTTAGGTATAATTAGTATTTTTAAATGCTAACAAAAAGTGTTAGTATGTTAAACAGAAACAATTTAAGATCTGCTTGTAAAATTTCCAGTCTTTTTCTATTACTAATAATTTATCTCGAATCTGTTGGTACATATAGAAAAAATCAATTAAAAGTAAAATCAGGAACACCTTTACTGTATATTTCGTTTAAATTTAAGTTATTCCAGATGGAGGATACGGGATTCAGAGATAGAGGGAAGGAATTGGATTCAGCGTGAGAGATTTTGTTTGTTGACATATGTAAATATCTCTGTGCTTTCATCAATATTTAAATCTGATCAATCAATCATATTCCGCGCTTTGCTAACATAGGCATAGAAATAACGATTTTTTAATAAACATGGGGTTTAACATTTTAAAGTATCATCAGGGATATAGAAGTACTATACGTTCCGGTTATATTTGAATACATTGGTGGTACAATCTTTAAACGTTGCAATTACTAATCATGTTTTATTATAAATTTAAGTAAAACAAGAAAACCTTACTTGCCAATTTGACAGTTACAGCTGAAAGCACAGAATCTGCCGTAATATCCTGTTTCACATTCTTTACAGTTTTCGTCATTATCTTCCAAGAAACGATAGGTTCCTGATGAACATTCTGAAATAAAAACCAAAGAATCAATAACATTGATCATGACTATATTAATAAACAAATTTACTTCCCTTTTCCGTCACTTTTTTTCATTCTGCGTTTGTACAATATTTCGTGCATAAAAAAAACCGCCAAATAAATCATTTTCTCACGTTGTATTATCTCGTCATTCATTATTTGGTGTCTTCAACCTATGCAAACATTTGATAAAAATATATTCAACCTATGCCTACAAACAAAATACAATAGGTGTTGTTTTAACAATTATCTATTTAATTAATAATAGGTAAAATGCAGTAAGTATTTTTAGGCACTTAATTTTACTCTTTCAAAATTTAGAAACAAAAAATAAACTATTTGCAAAATTGTGTTGTAGTAAAAATGAAATTAATAAAAAAAAAATAAGACAAAATTTATAAGATATATCACTTGATATTGCAAAATTGTGTTTATTAATAATAAATAATAGACAAAAATTTCAAAATAGATCATTGAAAAAAATATTAAATGCTTTTTTTTTATTTTTAAGATAACTTTAATTAATTATTATGATATACAAATACAAAGCAGGGATACATAGGTGTCACTTGATTGTCCTTTTTGTCCGTCCACACCTGGAATACAGTCAAGTACTAGTTTCTTCCTACAACAGTAACTGGATAACACAAAAACTTTCATCGAATATTTAATATCTCACTGGATTGTGCACTTTTATTTTTGTATATTATCCAAATAATATCTGAATTTCTTATCTAAAAATCTATCAAACATTACAACATTGTCAAAGCCGTATTAACTAAAAGCCTGATAACATCTTGTAGCCTCTTGTAGACTTGACTTATCAATTAAAAAAAATAACAGAATATGCAGTGCCTGATGACATTGCATATATTTTTTTTTTGAGTGGAATATTTTTCAACACATTTCAATTTTTTTTCAAATACAAATAGGATACGACACAGGTTAAACTATCGTACTGAGTCAACTTCGAGCTACCATTCAACATAAAATTAATATAAAGCATGCGTATAATGACTAACTTATTAATGATAAGTAAGTTGAGCAGTAATGAAAATATCAACAGAAACAACAAGAAGAAAATAGTAACTATGAAATCAAACATGTATAATTATGATTATGATGTTGTTCGGCTTCTGCGGTGTACGGAATAAGTTATATTTTAGCCTTTAATGAATTAAAAAGAATTTTTAAGACAGTTTTATTTTACGCATTTGTAAGAACATGTACAGAACCTCCTAAGATTCCACTTTCTAAATTTAATGAACAGTCATTTGAAGCCATATAGGATTATCGGAATGTCTTTCGTTTATTTGCATAACACTCACTGGAATAAGAAATGATTTGAATCTTCGTGATTACATATAACAACACAAAAAGAAGTAAATAACATATAACATTGACGCTGAATAATTATCATGATAAAGAGGCGAGTTAAAAACAAAACGTGATATTTTTGGCACATGAATATTCAACATTTAATCTTGTAAACAATAGGCATTTCCGATCGATTGTGTCCAAATCCGTAATATTAACATTCTGCTAAATGTTACTCATACATTTTTATATCAATTGTTTTCTGCTATGCTTAAGACAATACATTTTAAATTGATTTAATAATTTCAATAATAGAAACAGCACAGATGTGGTTCAATTACGATTAAAAAATTAGAAATATAGATTCCATCACAGCAACGATATTTCTCCACTCGAGACAGGGAAACTATTCAATCCTGTAAATAAAATTATTCGAAAGGGTTGCCATTTCAACACTGTAATTTGATCTTTGGGTACTGTTTTATTGGTATACAAATTGATTATGTCATCAGTAAATTAAATGCAAAATTAATATTAATTTCCTACACATAAGCACATTCATGGTACCACAATCTGTCGATACCTTTATATTGGTATTGCACAACGTCATGTTTTCCTCTGACTGTTAATGACGTCTTATAACACTAAATCCATTTGATGTTTGGTGTGTACTGATTGATATTCTAGTCTTAGATACTTGATTTTTTGTTAGTTGTTATTGGCTTTGAACTAGCTGTCAATTACTGCTAGTACTCTCAGATCTGTACTTTGTATCTTTTTTATGATGATGGATGTATAAATACCCTCCACGTCCGGTCTGTGTTTTGTTAGATGCTTTTTTTTTCTTTGTATCGATCTGTTGAGTTAAAACTTTTTCAACTGATTTTTACAGCGGATGACCTTGAGGGCATTCCGGTGTTATGTTGCCGCAGACATTTCTACCCACGTGACTTGCGTTTTTGACTGATAACCGAACGTATTTCGTATGAATACGCGGATATTATCGAATGCAAAATAACATTCCTTATCGCTTGTTATGAATTCATTTCTTCAATGAATACTCCAGAAAATATTTTTTAAGAACATAAATAAATAATATGAAAATGTTTTGTCGTGAGAAATATATATGTATAAGTAAAAAATCATTAATATATATGCACACGTACCGAAAAATTGTGTTTGCGGATGAATATCTCTTATCGCTTGTTATATATTAATTTCATCAATACATATTCAGAAATATGAATGCCTACTCAAATCAAACCTATTAGAACAACGAATTATTACAGAAGAGTGTCCACCATGCACTTGCACTGCACTATCATTAGAATAGTAGAAAAGAATGATGGTATAAATGGATGAAAATTTGCCGGTAGAGTTATTAAGATGATCTGCTATATATATATAACTGTTGTACACATATTGATATAATATATAACAACAAACCAGATTATACTGATAACAAATGATTGTCCCATGATTATATCACTACAATATAATAATTATTACAGTGAGGTTGAATTCTCTGTCATTTATTAATTATCCACACAGGAACTTGTCTCAGAAAAAAAATAAATCTATGTACCTTAACCTAACTTTCAGGTATAGAGATATTTTATTTTTTCTGAGGCAAGTGCCTGTGACTATCCACCAGAACTTGCGGTCATCCGACGTTCAGTACTTCAGTACTTTGATTATAGTTTGTTCTTATGTTGTACTGGTATACCACTGTCCCAGGTAAAGGAGGGTTGGTGCCTTCAAAAATGTTTAACCCCGCCACATTATATATGTGCCTGTCCCAACTCAGGAGCCTGTAGTGAAGTGGATGTTATATTTGTTTTTCGTAAATTGTTTTGTTATAAATTAGGCCGTAAGTGTTCTCATTTAATTTGTTTCATATTTTTCATGTCGGGACCTTTTATAGCCAACCATACGATATGGGTTTTTCTCATTGTTGAATGCCGTACGGTTGCTAATATAATTGCTTACATCCACATCATTTGAACTTTGGTGGATGCCTAGTCAATTTAGCTCTAAAATCGCTCAACCTGCAACTAATTGCAACACAAGGTTTTTTTAGTGCAAATTATAATATAGACTTGTACTAACAACATATTAAAACTATACATTGATATAATTTGCGGAAAAGGTTATTTTGGGGTGAATTATGTGGTTTTGGAGAAAAAATGCTGAAAACTGGAAAAGAAGAAAAATTGTTATTTATGGTTATATTTTTACACCTAAAGCTTGTTGAAGACAGGAAACCTTATCTTAATAGAGTATTATGTAGTCCTCTAGTTATTATTATTCATATTGAAGTAATTTTGAGGTGAAATGAGTGATTTTTAGTGAAAAAACGCTGAAAACTGGAAACGTAGAAAATCTCCGTTGTTAATGGTTAATATTTTTGAAATTTGATCTATATAGAAAAAAGAACATACTATTTTATGTTTTATTTGTGAAGTCCTTTAGTTATCAATATTAATATTTGGGTAATTTTGGTTGAATATTTGTTTTAAGACCGAAAACTGGAAATGAAAATATCTCGGTTATTGATGGTTAAAACTTTCAAATTGGGATCTAAACAGAAAATAGAGAATACTATCTGATGTTTATCTTAAGAAGACTTATAGTTATTAGTATTTAAAAAATTGTAATTCTTGTGTAAAATGTGTTTGTAGAGAAAAATTGTGATAAATGGAAGTAAAAAACTCGATTATTCATGGTTAAAACTTTTAACTTGAAATTGGGTCAAATCTCTAATTTGGCATTAAAATTAGAAAAATCTTATCATAGGGAACATTTGTACTAAGTTTCAATATGATTGGACTTCAACTTCATCAAAAAATACATTGACCAAAAACTTAAACAAAAAACTTTAATCTGAAGCAGGACAGACGGACGAACGAACAGACGCACAAACAGAAAAACATAATGGGGCATATAAAATGAAAATTTTAAAATCTTGGTTATTTCTAGTTTGATTTTTAAAAACGAAAAAATGGAGAATGGAAACAGGGAATGTGTCAAAGAGAAAACAAGGCCACTAATGGGTCTTTAACATAGCAAGTAAATCCGGCACACGGAGGTGGGCTTCAGCTGACCCCTTAATTATTTTGTACACTAGTTCAGCAAAATGGACACCACCCTAAACTCCAGTACATACAAATGAACCAAAATTATCACAAAAAAAAACACACACAAGACAAACAAAGGCTAAAGGTTCCTGACATGGGATAGGTGCAATAATGTGGTAGGGGTAAAACATGTTGTGTGAGAACTCAACCCTCCCTTAGTTTCTCTAGACAATATAGAATAAACAAACACACAGTAAAACTCAGTTTTAGATATATGCATTTTGCGGAAGTATGAAATTTTATCTTATGTTTCGGTTATCTATTTATAGTAATTATACGTGTAGGTATAATAAACAAAAAATGATTGTGTTCAAAAATAACTGTAAATCAGTTTGGTTACTGACTTTGATTTTGTCATGTTAATTGCTGGAAAAGTCATTTTTCTAGTATCCTTGCATCGTCATTGACTGTAGTCCGTTTTGTGTATTTTTCATTAGCTACTTTTACAATATTTGAATTGCATAAAGTCACACTTAAACACAGACGATGTGATTGCAGATTTCTCTTAATGTGTTGCTAATTTTATTTAGCAAGCTCTATTAATATCCACGTTTAATTTCAGATATATAAGCTTTTTAAATTTAGGAACATATACTAGTTCACTGAATTAGCATTAAAAGAGGGACAAAAGATACCAGAGGGACAGTCAAACTCATAGATCGAAAATTAAATGTAGATCTGATATTGTTTAAGGCAATTTCAAGAGCATCTTTGTCAATACGATTATAAGTTTACCTCAAGAGCTTGAATTTAAATAGTAATTGTACTAAAGTGGTCCAATTTTGGATGTTGAAAATGAGATAAGCACTGTTGAATGAATTAATGGGATCACTTCCTGGAGGAAGTGTTAATAGCAACAGCGCCTTATGTGTGTACCCTATAAACCTGTATGTGGTGGTCTGAAACATCAACCAAATGGTAATGACAAAGAACTAACATGGGTTGTCTGCTATATGAAAATATTATGGTCAAAGATATATATATACTTACTAGTATATAAAGTAAAGCATTACCAAGTTCTTTATTTTATATATCTCATTGAATTACTTTAATAAAAGGTAATCAGCTTTAGCCTAAGAACTGTAAAAAATGATCATGCATCATCTGTGTATGAATTAAAATTTGTAGTGTCCGTGGGCGACTTTGATGGCCAGAGATAGCGTTTAGATAGTCATGTCTAATCTGAAAGTATGTCTGTTAGTTTTTGTTAGTCGTTTGGGTTGCTTTCTCGTTGACTTTAAAAACCTCAAATATTCATAAATATTACAGATATATCAATGTTAAAGACGCTGTTTTCTGCTTCCGGAATGCTGACCTGTATTCAACTCATTTGAACGAAACTATAAAATATTTAAAAAAATACACCTCATGCCAAAAGAAAATAAATGTTTAGCTTTTAAGGTCCACTAAACTCTATCAGTGATCTCTTGGTAGTAAGTTTGATCGCTTGCCAATGAAACCATCACTTATTATAAAATCTCCCCATTTTAGAAACATAAGAAGATGTTGTATGATTGCCGATGAGAAAACTTTCCACAAGAGATATCAATGATGTGGGTGTGGATGTAAACAACTATAGTTCATCGTTAAAATATAAAACAAGTCAAACGAGAAACTCAAAGGCCTAATTAATGTTAAAACAATAAACGGAAAAACAAATATGACAGACAGCAAACAATAACAACCAAGTAATAAAGGGCCATTGACTTGTGATAATCATATTCATAGTTTGCATGGTTAACCCTGTTTGCGAGCACTCAACCCTCCAATAATCAGGAACAGTTTTTATTTAGGGGCCGGCTGAGCACACCTCCTGGTGCGGGATTTTCTCGTTGCGTTGAAGACCCATTGGTGGCCTTCGGCTGTCATCTGCTCTTGATCTGGTCGGGTTGTTGTCTCTTTGACATACAGTATTCCCCATTTCCATTCTCAATTTTATTTAAATAGCAAACAACGTAAGAACAAATTGTAAAACCCAGTTGGAAAGGGCTCAACTCAAAAAGATCAGCACGGAGTATATAACCAATTAACAAAAAGACACTGAGTTCACATAGCTAGTTCAAAGCTTAGTAATTACAGTTGACGAATAAATACTGTTGGCACCGACTAAAATATAAATAAGTACAAATCCGATTAGTAACCAAAGTGAAAAGTGGATTCAGTGTTACATCCAAAGCTTTATTTATATGGTGTGTGAGTACTGAGATCGTCGCAAATTACATGAGTAGCTATTTGCTTCGAGGAGCCTGAAATGAAAAATTGTTGGATTTTAAATCTTAACATGTTTGTTCCAGAAGGGAAATGAAAAAAATATATTGTTTTCTTTCTAAAGTTGTGGAGAAAAAATACCTTAAAGACTTATCTTGCAATATCATTTTTTTATAAAGAACAAAACATGTGTTTCTGGAACCCCCACACCCCCCTCCCCCACAACAAAAAATAAACTGCCTGTGCCTTTAAGACAGGGGCAGAATTCTTTCAAATACCAAGTAAGAATGAGACAGGAAAGTGATTCATTTGTAATATTATTCTTTTAAATTGAAATAATTATGTATTGTATTGTATTATTTCAACTGTTTTAAAAAATACAGAGCATTTTTTGTATAATTTTATTTTTTTCAACTTTGGCAAATAAGGGGAAGCAACTCATATAACCTTACTTTTACTGCAAAACATTTTTATAATTTACACCACTTTCCGCAAAATATATTTTTGTATAGTTTTAGTATGCTGTTCACAGACTAGTTTTTCAGAGAAAAACTTTGTGTTGCAATTAGTTGCAGGTTGTTCACTAAATTGACTAGAAGTTGTCTCATCGGCAATGATACCACATTTCCTTATTTTTCATATTTAACATAAGATACAAATTTTACCGCACAAGATGTGCATTTCGACATAGAAATGTATCTTCAGTGATGCTTGAGGCAAAAAAATTTGAAAATCCAAAACCTTGTACTTACGTTGAAGAGCTAATCAAACCATAAAAAATATCTTAATTATATTAACAACACATACATTAATGAATTTAAAAGTGCTTGGCCTGTCTTTTCTTTTCATCAGTATCCTCGTTTTAGTTGATATTTATATTATACCTATCTTAGAATTGTAGTTGACTGATACGACAGACACAAGATTTCTGACAAAAATGTTGATAAATTTATTCTTCAAGTAGTCAAAAAGTTTTAAAAGTTAATGTGCTCTGATTTCTTACCTTGACATCTTCCACGTAGTGAGTAGTACATAGAACAACAACGTAGTTCACCAGTTTCAGCACTGAAATATACAGATACATGTATTTCAACTTAAGTGAATCTATATTATCTGTATAAAGCAGTGAAATGGTTATAATTAGACATTAAATATCTGTTTTGCTAACTGTGTGGACATCAGATATTCTAACATATTCAACCAAATCGAATAAAGCAATGTGTATCAGTAACTTTACATGTATTACTCAACTTGTAGAATTCTAATGCATCCCCCGGTCAACCTTGTACAAGTATATGATAAAATATTTAAAGAATTGTATGCATGAGATCGCTTACAATGCAATTTTGTATTTACATGTTATTTACATTTCCAAAGGAAGTAACTGCCGAAGAAAAAGTAGATAAAATATTTCATAAAAATACAAAACTGTAGGCGATTAAGAGCCTGCAATGCAATTGTCCGTGAAGTTTACATTTGCAAAAGGAAAATCCTCGATGAAAACAGACGTTCAGTAATCATTAAATACATAGCTGATGTTTATATATAAATTTCAAAGGTCATAACTCACGTAGCGGATTGGTGCTGACAAGATTGCTGATATATCTTTCAAATAAATTTCAAAAGTTTAAAGTCAGTTTTTGTGATTTTTTAAATTTTTCAGAAGTATATTTATGTTTATAAATTTGTTATCGGATACTTTTATTTGGATTTCAGTTTCATAATGATTGGTAATATCAAAAGGCATAACAGCGTTGGTGTGGCCATTTATTGGCTGGGTAAGATCTCGTAAATAATTCGTCTATTACGCCAACTTAGTGACTTTTATAGGACACTTTAACATATGGGTCGCCAAAGATTTCCCAAGTAACTACAAAAATACTACAGTCGTTAACAATGTGGTTTGATTGTCATTAAATACTTTAACATTGAATACTTAAACATTAAATACTTTAACATTGAATTCTTTAACATTAAATACTTTAATATTGAATACTTTAACATTAAATACTTTAACATTGAATACTTTAACATTCTTTGCTGGCGTCATTTTTATGTTTTGATAAACAAATTAGTTATGATATCACAAGTTGCTTTAAAAGTACAAATGAATGTGTTAGCAATTACCTTGAAGCCATTTTACAAATGTAGTTTTCTAAAATTTGTACTTGCTCTTCGTGTCTTTCAACTCATACCTTGTCTTAATTTTTTTTTTTTTAGAACGAATGCATCATAGATCATCATACAGACTAAATCGTGGTGCATTTTTTTTCTCTCAGGAAATTGTGTTTTTTAATCTCGATGTCGTATTTATTTTTGTCCCTATATTCTTAAATTGAAATCAATTACTGTTAATTGCCTTGAAACATAAATACATTTATTGACAATCAGGTCAGATACACTACCAATCTGTCTTCACTCTGTTTTTATTCATAAAACGATTCAATAACTTACTCATTTTCGAAATCATTTTTGCGAGATAAACGTTTTCCTAATGCCTAAAGTGACATTTTTAATCGTAAGTTACTGTTTTATTTTTTCGGTTTTGTTTACAAAACAAAAACATTTATTTTCAGACCTTTATTCAAGTTCATTTTAATATAAATAAGCAAGTATGAATTTGTAGGTGGACAGACCTTCAATTGTTCTCTGGATAATTGGTTTTTAAAATCGTTATTTTGTACTTCGCAGTTAAAATAGGACTAAAAATATAGCTTTGTTCTATAATTATTTAACTTGTCTAGATTTATGATTTTGGGTTTAATATCATTAAAATCTTTGACTTTTGACTTAGATAGAATTGAGGCTACAGCAAAATATAGTAAGTTGATATTGAATGTTACTTACGTGCATTCTCCTTTAGTAATATTACTTGATGTCTCGTGGGATACATCGGCAGATACAAGTATGGTTTGTGATACGAATGGCACAATAAAGTTCATGATAACAGCAACAACAAAACCCATATTCATATCCATGAATCTGCATGTACATACATGTATACATACATGCATATCTCAAACGAATAACAATATTTCTTATATTTCCTCATTGTATTAGAAAATGTCGAACACAATTTATACTTTCCGGTCGATGGATGGGAGTTTGAGTTGAACATAGTTATTTTTTTTTAAATTCATTTCCTACACTACAGAAGACATGACAAGTAATTGAGTTACACTGCACCGGAAAAGAATGTATGAAAGTGGCAATTTTGAAGAGTAACGCTTTAGTCCTTGCATTTAAAACGTTATTTCCTAATTTAATTCTAGCGTAGAATGAGGATTATATTGTCACTTATTTGTTTTTATACGTTTGTCGAAGACGGGAGGAATTGTGGTATATCATATCACATGTCCGTCCGTCCGTACGATAACTTAAATTTGCTTTAACCAATTCTCATGTAATTTTAACACAACATTGAGATAGACAAAAGAAAGTTCCCTTTCGATTTTGAAATTTTGGCTGCCTCGTTCCAGAGTTATGGGACTTTAACCGTTTAAATTAAGGCAATTTTTAACTGCAGTATGCCTGGATTGATTTCCTCTTAACGTTATATTATTATGGTTGGGATTGATAAAAGGAAGTTCCCTTTTAATTTTTTTAATTTTCTGTTTTTTCCGTTACAGAGTTGCGGGACTTTAACTGGATGAATTACGTCATTTCACACATATTGCGCACTCCAGTACGCCCGTCTTATTTCCTCAAAATTTTACATTATTGTTGTGATTGATAAAAGGAAGCTCTTTTTTATTTTTAGCTCACCGGGGCCCGAAGGGCCTCATGTGAGCTTATGCCATCACTTGGCGTCCGTCGTCGTCCGTCGTCTGTCGTCGTCGTCGTCTGTCGTCGTAAACTATTTCAAAAATCTTCTCCTCTGAAACTACTGGGCCAAATACCTTCAAACTTAAACTAAATGTTCCTTAGGGTATCTAGTTTATAAATTGTATCCGAATTTTTGATCCATCGACAAACATGCCCGCCATGGCTAAACATAGAACATAGGGGTCAAATGCAGTTTTTGGCTTATATCTCAAAAACTAAAGCTTTTAGAGCAAATCTGACATGGGGTAAAATTGGTCAATTGGTCAAGATCTGTCAGCTCTGAAATTTTCAGATGAATCAAACAACCCATTGTTGGGTTGCTGCCACCGAATTGGTAGTTTTAAAAAAAATTTGCAGTTTTTTGTTATTATTTTGAATATTATTATAGATATATATAAACTGTAAGCAGCAATAATGTTCAGCAAAGTAAGATCTACAATAAACTTAATATGACCATAATTGTCAATTGACCCCTTAAGGAGTTATTGCCCTTTAAAGGCAATTTTAAACAATTTGTTCATCGTTTGCTAACATTTAAAAATCTTCTCCTCTGAAACTACTGGGCCAATTACCTTCAAACTTTAACTAAATGTTCCTTAGGGTATCTTGTTTATAAATTGTATCCGAAGTTCGTATCCATCGACAAACATGGCCGCCATGACTAAAAATAGAACATAAGGGTCAAGTGCAGTGTTTGGCTTATATCTCAAAAACTAAATCTTTTAGAGCAAATGTGACATGGGGTAAAATTGTTTAATTGGTCAAGATCTATCGGCTTTGAAATTATCAGACGAATCAAACAACCCATTGTTGGGTTGCTGCCACCGAATTTGTAGTTTTAACAAAATTTTGCAGTTTTTTGTTATTATTTTCAATATTATTATAGATATATATAAACTGTAAGCAGCAATAATGTTCAGCAAAGTAAGATCTACAAAAAAGTTAATATGACCAAAATTGTCAATTGACCCCTTAAGGAGTTATTGCCCTTTAAAGACAATTTTACACAATTTGTTCATCAAGTTTGCTAACATTTAAAAATCTTCTCTGAAATACAGGTGAGCGATTCAGGCTCTTGAGAGCCTCTTGTCTGTTTTTCCATTCCAGAGTTTTGGAACTTGAATTGTCAGATTTAAGTAAATTTTTCACATGTACCATATTTTGAGTTTGTTTGGATTGATTTGCTGACAACTTTACATACTAGTAATTGTTGGAACACATCGTCCAATAAAAGAAATCCTACATGTCTGAGTTGCGGGTTTTTATCAGTCATTTATATAAAAGGCATATTTGAAATTCATGCACTAGCTATATCATGCTTGGATTAAATTACATCTATTACAAACTTACAATGTTGATGGGATTGGTGAATTTGAAATTTTTCTGGGTTGTCATTCCGAAGTTATGGGACTTTTAACAATCATAATTGACACAATACTTATACGCCTTATGATATCTTCATGCATGTTTTTCGATTGATTTATTTTATTTGCTCTTTATTAAATGCCTTCTAAATATCGCTTTTCATTTTTGCACCAATTTCAAAATGCACAATAAGGAAGTATTGCCACGCGCTCTTAGTGCAGCTGGTATTTTTGACACACTTGTAATATACTACCTAATAATTACGGAAGCGTATAAGCCTTGGATTTTTTTATTGATATTTATTTCGAATTAAATGGTAATATTCTTTTTATGTGTTATTCAACATAATAATCGTATCAATCCCGGTAAGCACCGTGCTATTATTCGTCTATTTTAAATATAAAACATACAAAGGATAAGAACAGACCATTCATCAATAAAAAGTCGACTCCTTCGAGAAATTAGACCTGCAAAAATAAACTTAAGAAAAACAACAATGAACAACATATAACCCAGATAGTTTGCAATGTTACAGGCATGTAACGTTTAGGTAAGCGGAAAGAACTTCACAGGACAAAAAGTCACAGAACTATCAGGACTGAAAGTAACAAATTTAATAATTAATTTTAGGCTTACAGTTTAGGAAATAGTTCATAAGCCTTAATAAATGAAAATTAATCAAATCTTAATCATGCAAACTATTTTGGATCATTTTTAAGTAACAACAAGCAAAAGAACTATGTCAATTGGACCTGCTTTGATACTATAATTGCCCTTGAAATTTTACTAGATAACATTTCTGTTCGCTTTGGAGATTCCGTATATCGTCAAGTTATCGGAATTCCAAAGGGGACTAACTGTGCACCACTTATTGCGGACCTGTTTCTGTATTGTTATGAGTTACAATTTATGACTAAAATCAGCAAAAACCCATCGAAACAACATCTGATACAAAAATTAATAACACGTTTAGATATTCTGATGATATATTGGCTCTAAACAATGACGACTTCAGTATGTACACTAAAGAGATTTATCCTGTTGAACTGACTTTAAATAAAGCTAATACTAACAATGAACACTGCCCTTTCCTGGATCTTGATATCTACATCTTTAACGGGAAGCTTGATACCAAAATTTATGATAAAAGAGATGATTTTTCATTTCCTATTGTCAATTATCCATTTTATTGTGTTCATATATCTCAACTTGTTCGATTCGCTCGTGAATGTAACAACGTATTTGATTTTAACGAAAGAAATCTATGTATTACTGAAAAATTATTACACCAGGGTTTTCGATATCACAAACTAGTCAAAACATTTACTAAATTTTATCATCGGTACAAGGACTTCATTCGTAAATATAAATCAACATGCAGACATTTTATACGTTCAGGTATTTCACATCCAATCTTTTATGGTAATATTCTTTACAAAGCACAAAAATGTCGGCATTCACCTCAAAAGCTAACAAAACCTTTAAACAGACTTATTAAGAAGGGATATAGTTACGATACTGTTGTCAGGTCATTAAAGATGATAAAATTGAGAATGGAAATGGGGAATGTGTCAAAGAGACAGCAACCCGACCATAGAGCAGACAACAGCCGAAGGCCACCAATGGGTCTTCAATGCAGCGAGAAACTCCCGCACCCGAAGGCGTCCTTCAGCTGGCCCCTAAACAAATATGTATACTAGTTCAGTGATAATGGACGTCATACTAAACTCCAAATTATACACAGGAAACTAAAATTAAAAATGATACAAGACTAACAAAGGCCAGGGGCTCCTGACTTGGGACAGGCGAAAAAATGCAGCGGGGTTAAGCATGTTTTTTGAGATCTCAACCCTCCCCCTTTACCTCTAGCCAATGTAGAAAAAACAAACGTACAACAGTACGTACAGTAAAACTCAGTATAAGAGAAGTCCGAGTCATATTTTGGTTTTAATATTGATTCACTCATAGGGTCTTTGCATCGTAAATAAACACATTTATTCTAAAACCAGTTGTTGGCATGATACGTGTTATGTTCTTCTCATATATTTTATGATGGTATGATACTAAACCCCTAACGGGAGGGATTGGGCTTGATTTTCATATGATGAAGACATAATCTTTCAATCAGTTTAATTGAGGTCTGGAGCTGGCATGTCAGTAACTGCTAGTAGTCCTTTGTTAATGTATGTATCATTGTCATTTTACTTAGTTTCTTTTGTTACCTATTCTGACATAGGACTCAGACTTCTTTTAAACTGAGTTTTACTGTGCGTATTGCTGTGTGTTTGTTTTTCTACATTGGCTAGAGGTATAGGGGGAGGGTTGAGATCTCACAAAACATGTTTAACCCCGCCGCATTTTTGCGCCTGTCCCAAGTCAGGAGCCTCTGGCCTTTGTTAGTCTTGTATGATTTTATAATTTTAGTTCATTTATATGTTTTGGAGTTAAGTATGAGGTCCATTATCACTGACCTAGTACACATTTTTGTTTAGGGGCCAGCTGAAGCACGCCTCCGGGTGCTGGATTTTCTCGCTGTGTTGAAGACCCATTGGTGGCGTTCGGCTGTTTTCTGCTCTTTTGTCAGGTTATTGTCTCTTTGACACATTCCCCATTTCCATTCTCAATTTGAAAGGATATATTTTTGGCACCATGAAGCCTTTTAAGTACCAAGCCACTTTGACAAATTGTTGCGTGAACCCCAGTCTTTTCGGAATACATCTAGTTAATTGATATGAGATGCATGTGTGAAGTTTTGTGAAACACAAGCTGTGTTCTCATTGGAGATAAGATTTTAAACGAAAAAAGTGACTGTCAGTTAATAGATGAATAGGTGTTTTTATGATTTTAAAACTTAGCCATTTTAGCGAAATAAAAAAAAAAAGAGCGCAGTCCATTTAAGCAGCTTTTAAATTCTATGTCCAAGAAATATTCGGATAGAAAAATTAATATTTATAATTAAACTTCTGTAAAATAAAGTTACTTTTTATTTACCTAATGAAGTAACCATAATTGTTTCAAGAAGAATATGCTGGGGGAAATATTCTTAACCGTCATCAA